AGTCCACGGCACAACACAGCTTGGGGTCGTCAGCAAAGCTACTGAGGGTGCGCTCAGTGCCATCGTCTATGTTGCTGACAAAGATGTTGAACAGCACTGGACCCAGAACAGACCCCTGAGGAACTCCACTTGTCACTGGCCATTTTCTTAGTAAAATACATTTTCTTAGTAAAATGTTATCAATTGTTTTTCAAATGCGTGGGCTGATTATGTATGCACTTTCCCCACTAGAAGCTGGAGGCATTTCTTTAACCAAGATTTTCAGAGCCTAGAAGAATTTTTGTTTTTCCAGTACAGTCTGAGGGGATTTGAAGGGCTCTGGTCCCAACTGATGTCTTTGCTAAGCTTGTTTCACACAAGCTCTGTCAATCTCATCAGTCACTCTTTCACTTTGTTGTGTGAGCTGAAGGTTGCAGGAGTCTCAAGATTTCAGAGAGCTGCACTGGTCACTTGCAATGCTGTGTGTTCTAGCCTCCACCCTTCCCACAAACACCTCAGTGCTTAGAAAGCCTTTCTAAGCATTCTTACCAGAACAGACAAGGACATTTTACTTGTTAGATTTGTTTTCAGTCTTGTTATGATGTTTTTATGACTACTTATAATTTTCTCAGGCTCTTTCTAGTCTCTCTCCTTTGCTTAGCTGTCTTCTGAGCACTTCATAGAGACATGTTCCTGTTACAGTAATTTTTTTTTTTCTCTGAATGTCAGTTCTGTCTTTTGTCACAGTTTGTGCTGAGCGCATAGAAACATCAGATGAAGGTTGTGTGCATTTGCATAAAGATTTTTCATCAACTCATCCCAGAACTGGATTCTTTTTTGCAGGGGTGCCAAACCAGTGGCTGTAAAAATTCTTAAGAATGAGAGTAATGATCCAGCCATAAAGGATGAATTACTGAGGGAAGCAAATGTAATGCAGCAACTGGATAACCCATATATAGTCCGAATGATAGGCATATGTGAAGCTGAAGCCTGGATGTTGGTAATGGAAATGGCTGAGCTTGGGCCATTGAACAAATTTTTGCAAAAAAATAGGTATGTAAGCTTTGACTTAATTTCATATAATTCATCCAAAGAGGAAAAGAAGATATCATTCCTTTTTCCTTTTTTTTTTTTTTCTCTCTAAGGGAAATTTTAAATTGATGTGTTGTTAACGTAATAATTAACAATTATAGTTACTCTTCCCTGGGACACAATTATCTTGTGTGTGTCTCTTAACTGTCAAATATTTCTGTTAAAATAATGCATTTTGAATAAATCAAAGAATTTTCACATATCCTTCAATCACTCTTCTATTGATATGATCACACATCATCTTGCTTGGGACATTCTTATGCTGCCTGTTCTAATTAAAGCTTAGCTAAACATAAGTGGATCAGGTTTCTAGTGTGACATAGGAAGTTCATAGTGAAGATTTATATTTGAACTCCATGAAGCACTATGAAAGTGAACTGCTGACCTCTTAAAAATTCAATTATGATTTTCAGACATGTCACAGAGAAGAATATAACAGAGCTGGTACATCAAGTTTCCATGGGGATGAAATACCTGGAGGAGAATAACTTTGTTCATAGGGATCTGGCTGCAAGGAATGTGCTATTAGTCACCCAACATTATGCCAAAATTAGTGACTTCGGACTTTCTAAAGCTCTTAGTGCTGATGAAAGTTATTATAAGGTAAGGTCTGCACAAAACCTGAAAGCTGTACAGTAGAATAGCTTAATAATGTTATTTTCAGTCGAAGTGTGGTTAGCTTTAAAAGTTGAAAATTAGAAATAATACGTATCATTATTATTTATAGCCTGATAGTAGGCCACTAATTTTCAAAATACCTAATAAGCATTAAGAGATGTGTAGGGAGGAAGGAGCTAGTTCCTTCTTTTATTAACATACTTCTTCCATTTGCTCTTGGTAAACCTGTCATTAGAAGGTTAAATTTATGGTGGAAATAATATACTTCCTTATATAAAAGGGGGAAGACGTCTTTGTTGCAGATAGGAACTTTCGGGCACTTGGTTTTTCAGCATGTGTGAGGGAAATTTAGGCTAGTGATCTATATTGTTGACTAACAGAACTGAACTTGGGGAGATTTTTGAAAGAACACTATTGTTAACGATAATTTGATCTAAGCAGAATTTGTTTAGCTTGGTTTTAAATTCATTGGATCTCTGTACAGCTAAAGGGACTGGAATAACTGCCACATTTAATAACGTAAAAACATCCATGGAAGATAAAGGCTTTAATTGTGTCCGCATCTTTTTTTCTGATATATTGCTCTTGCAGTTCAAATTACTTCTTCCTTCGGCCTATTCCCTTTCATCAGCTGTTTAAAACTAATAAGCCAGACCATGTCAGCATATTTTCTAAGGGAATAGTAACTGCTGCCAGGAAAAGCAGTAGCATCTTAAATCACTGCCACTAGGCTATCCAGAGCTAGCAGTCAGAGGTTTGAGAATTGCTAGCAAAGGCCCATTGCCTTTTCCACCCCACAAAATGCAGTGGAGTCCTTTTGGTAGATCTAGCACTGTACTGGGATAGCTTGACATTTGCATGGTTGTAGCACAGTGTTACGGCATAATTTAATCAAACTTCAGTTTGCCACAATGTGATCTCTGTGCTTTGAGAAGGAGCATCAACTTCAAGTAATAATGAGACTCAGTGTAACTAGGTGCTCATCTCTTACCCTCCATGGTGAACCTAGATGATAAATCTTGTTTTAAAGAACAACTTTCAGTTAAATGCTATGAAAACCATGACTGCAGGTCATTTAGCTAAGCTTTGCTTTACTGTAGGTTTCATTTCAGTGCTTTATTTTGAAAGTGGAAGATTAGGAACAATTTTGTTACACTTCTGAAGAAGCTGCTACCCATTCTCTCTAACACCAATTGCATCAGAAGCGTTGTGGTACTTAGTACAAATGTGTGCAGGTCTAAGTTAACTTGGCTTATATAAATTCCGTTGTTATTTGCTGCTTACCACTGTCTTCAGTCTGCTTTGTTTTCCTTTCTGTTATGATTTATTTTAGGCACAAAGTCATGGAAAATGGCCAGTCAAGTGGTATGCTCCAGAATGCATGAATTTCTACAAGTTTTCTAGCAAAAGTGATGTCTGGAGCTTTGGGGTGTTAATGTGGGAAGCTTTCTCTTACGGTCAAAAACCATATAAGGTGAGTAGTTCTACCTGGCAATTTTTTATGTGTAAAAATTCGGAGAAAATTTGAACTGATGCCTTTTCTTACCTAAAAAGGGTTATTGCAGGCCAAAGCAGGTCTTTGTGCCCCATCTGTTTGCAACAAATGGGTCAAAGGATAGCCCAAAAATCAACTCAAGGCTTCTGTTTTATACTAGCATGTGTGCTATAATCATCTGCAGCTTGGATGACTGTTCTGGTCACCCTGTTTCAGGGAATGAAAGGTGGCGAAGTTGCACAAATGATTGAAAGAGGAGAACGAATGGAACGTCCTGAAGTCTGTCCAACAGAAGTCTATGATCTAATGAAATTGTGTTGGACATACAAGTGAGTGTGATATGATGCCCTTTCTTTTATTAGAAGTATATCATAACCTACTTAGTTACTAGCCAGTAAAAGCCACGGGGGGTGGGTAGTTTAAAATACATCGTTGCAGCTGGTGTTGTCTTACAAACAGCCTCCAAACTACAGAATCAGTTGTATTTTAAAATGAAAATTATTTGAGTTGTTTGAGTGTACAAGAGCCTGGTTTTACACAGCTGATTTTTCTGGAACAGTTATATACAAAAAATAGGATATCATAAAAAACTGTTCCACAAGAAGATCAGTTGGATGTATTTTGAAAAGAAAATATGAAACTTACCAAATATTTTTGTTTCATTTTGGATTGTGTTTTGTTTAATTTTAATTTTCAAGACATTTTCTTTACTGAAATTTCAAAATCATATTGCCAAATTATTCGACAATTATTTTGACCTATTTTTCTCTTATTTCTGAATATATTCAGATTGGATACCACATTGACTTCCTGTAAGTGGGAGGCAAAACATCTTTTCAGATCATAACTAATATGTCAGAAACACTTTTTCTGACTGACAACAACTCAGAAGTTAGAATTACAAAATATAGAGAAGAAAAAGAGAGTTTTCCTGATACTCCATTTTTAACTAGTATCTTGCAAAAAAATATTTAAAATATTTTATGATTTATCATTTTAAACTACTCTCTTGAAGGTACTTTTAGCTGTAGGAAGGTCTCCATAAGGCACCCAAAGTCTCCTATGTGTCAACTGTTCTTCCTTCACAATCTGGAGAATAAGTGTGTCCAAAAAAGTCTCTAGAATCCATTTAAAGAGCTGTGGTATTTTTAGGTACCTTGCTCCTTTGTTAGTTTTATTACACCTAGTACTCCAGAAAGAATGTGGAGGCATAGAATTATTTCTGCCCTTTGGGTTGACTCAAAGAATGCCGTAACAGTTCTAGAGTAAAAGGGATCATTTTTTGTCATGATTAATAAGCAGATCATGTAATACAGCTTTTTGTTTGTACTCAAATAGCTATTATATTGGGAAGAACAAGAATAAAATTTAAAATGGAGGCTCAAGTCAAGCAGTGTAACTATCTGAAAATATAATGTATTACTGTGTTTGTTGTCAGTTTGTGTTCTCCCAAATCAATGAGTTCCAGATAGAGTACAGCCATATAGTATGTGCATAGGCTCCTCTCAGTGGTGCTAAGCCACTCTGTATGACTGTAGTACCCATTAAAAGGCAGATATTGCACTGTAAATACTTTTTTCTCCAGATCATTGGTCAAGTAAATTAAGTGGAAAATGAAATGGAGCTGATATACCATCTCTTCTTGTAGTCCCTTTACCAACCAGAAAGTAACAGGCGTGATAGTAAATCCACTTACTGGAATCTCTGTAGTGATGTTTGCTGCTTGTTATTAATTTTGTGCCATTGTTTCGGTAGCCCTAAAATACTATGAGCAACTTTAAATGAGCTGTCAGTGAGGTAAAGTCCCAAGCGTTGCAGGGCCCATGCACCTTGCCAGCTTTCTCCTTCCTGTGCAGTGATACTTGTCATCTTTCCACAGTGTGGATGACCGACCAGGATTTGTTGCGGTTGAGCTGAGATTGCGTAACTACTATTATGACATATCCCACTAGCAGCATGAAGAACAACAGCTTCCTTGCCTCCAGCCAGCACCCTCTGAGAAGAAATTCAATTTCCGCAGCCAAGCAACTTTATACTTTGATTTTTATACTGCCACTTTCACCCTGCAAAGCTCAGAGCTAAGCCCTGTGTCTGCAGGGTTGCCTTTTCTTGCCTTCTGCGCAATATCCAGCCCCAAAAATAGTGTTGGGAAGTGGAGAGGCCCCAAAGTGAGTAGCGAGGACGTCAGAGCAGATGCTTATATTTTTGCTACATTCCATTTCATTTTATTTGCAGCTTTATTGGCATTACATTTTATGGTCATGGAAAACCTCTTTAATGCCTTTCAGGCCTCTTCCTCTCTTGTATTTGACTGTGGATTGAAATTTAGATTCTCAGTATTCTTAGCACTCAAATGCACTAAGATCAGCTTACCCCCTCCCTAAGGAAAAATAGCATAAACGTTTCTCACTGTGAAAGTGTGTCAGTCATCTTGAAAGACAGCAGTTGGTTTTACACCCAAGCCCCTTTGAAACTGAATCATATTCTTCCCAGTACTAATGGAGGCAGAGGAGAATGCTGGGAGACGTGTGACCAACTTGTCTTAGTCCTCATCTCTTGTAAAAGCCCAGCTGTCTCTCAGGGAGGTGTAGGGGTTTCTCCTGGTGAAACCTGGGAACTCAAGAGCTTGCTCACATCCTGGAACAAAACATATCAGCACCTAAGACAATGATTCTGGGTTTTAACATAAACTCCACCACCGCACTGCTGAAAAGACAGCTGTACAGTGAAAAGTGACAAAGCAGCACTTTTGTTTCTCTGTGCTGTTTCATCCTTCTCTAGAGATATCTTTTCCATGTATTTCTTTGGGTATACCAAACCTTCTCATGGTGTGTTGTGAGCAACAATCATTTATATCTCTTTTCAAACCTTCCTTGAAAACCATTTGTGAGAATTCACCACAGCTTATCACATCTAATGGTAAATTCAACCCTAGCTCAAATATTTTAAAACAGACATAAGGACATCAAGTTTACTTTTGACCATTCCTAAATATTAGTATTTGTGCTGTTATTAATCCCTGTGAGCATCTCAGGAAAAGATATTTATCTTATCACTGTTTTGTGATGCACTGTGCATCTCTATTGATGTGCAAGCATAGCAGTGGTAATAACAAATAATGTAATCAGCTTCTGATTCTGTTTTTACCCTTATGCTTTGTTTGTTCAGTCTCATTTTAAGTATTACGTATGTCAAAATTTCTATCACTTCTATCACTTCACTTTACTGGCATTTCAGTATATCTCAGGAGTCTACATATTTTGCATCTGCTAGATATAGAGATTTTAGAAGGCTATAAATAATAAGATTTAGAGTTATATATATTTACTGCATATGGCTGGTTAGAACATATTTAATTGTGTGAACAGGGATGGAGTGATGTATTTTTCTCTTGCAAAGAAACTGTGGGCAATTACAGGAAGAAAGTGAAATAACGTTCATAAAAGAGGTTATTATAAACAAATGTAGGAGTTACTGTATTTTTTTTCTTTTTACTAAGTTTATGGTCTATTTTTCAAAAAATACGTGGTGATTTTTGGTAGTTTAATCTTGGGTGTCCAGTGCAAGATACTTCAGAAAGCACATGCCACAGAAAGATACTGAGTGCAATAGACCGTGTTTCAAATGTGACCAGTGTGACTTATATTAAAGATGATTTATTTTTTGTTTTTAAGAAACAGTTTTCTACAAGAACAGCTTGCGTATAAGTTAGCCATAGTTATCTGTAGGTGTTTTGTCACTTTGATAATGTTGCAGAGAAATTGTTAGCTCTACATGTGCGATTAGTACATTCATGGGGATATTAGTTATAAACAAATTGCACAAATCTCTGGTAGCCAGTGGGTGACAGTACTCAATTCTCCTGATATATATATATATATATATCTTAAAAAGTGTTATCTGATGCAACAAAACTGGAGGGAAATTTCTTCTCCTGTTCTGAGTGAATGTCGCTTTCTGATGTTACTTGATTACTTTTAACTTCACTATTATGTAATAAAAGTTTACAATGAGAATATAAAGTATTGTGAAATAAATGGATTAGGTTTTAAAATTGAAATTAAAGACATTGTTTTACAAAACATGCTTTTTTTTAACAAGAATCCTTTCATATCTAACTGCTTTCTAAAAAATGCTGATGCTATACAAAGCATGTTTATTTACTGAATTACTGTGGACATTGTAGTTGATAGAGATTCCTCTATTGAAACTGAAAGGTACTTGACACAATAGATAAGCCCACTGAAGCCTGGGCTCGTTTCGTATCTATTCAGGACTAGCAGGAAAATCTCCCAAAAATATACGTGTTGTTATTATAACTAAGCCTTTCCAAGATACTGCTTCTCAACAATACTGTGCTGGATCTGGAAGGTTAGAAGTGTCAGAAGGCAGTGCAGCATGTCAGCTATCCAAGGATTTCTGCATTACAGGTGTCAGCTATGCAGGTTTTAAGTAACAATCTACCAAATGGATCCTCCCTTAAAGTTGCAGGCAACTGTTCTAGGTATTCTGAAATAACTGTCTTTCAGTTAGCTTCTCCTGCAGGCTCAAGTCTTTAGGAAAGCAAAAGCTGGACGTGACAATGTGAATCTGAACAGTAAAAAACAAAGGATGAAAGGTAGACAACTGGTCGGTTCTTACCTTTGGGGCAGTCAGTCAGTGACTGACTTACACTACTGCTCTGGCTGTTTTCCTCCATGATTGTATTTTTTCTGGCCTACTTGTTCCCTCTTCCCACTTGTGGAACTGCATCATCAACTAATATGAAGGGGCTTTTGTCTTTTGTCTAAGGTTCGTTGTCTTTGGTTTTAGATTGACTTGCATCAGAAGTGCCACTTGGCAGTGTAGCCCCACAACTAAGCTCACAGCAGAGTTAAGGGGTAGCAAATTGCAGTGTGGAGGAAGGGAGGCTGACATGAGTAACTCAGAGAGAGAGAGGAGCCAGTGAGAACACGTTAAACAGGTTTTTCAGTGAAGGAGAGCACAGTGCAATGACAGCTTTAGTTAGGGGCAAACGTACAGAACCGTGGAATGTTTTCAGAGTGTGGGAGACCATGCACCTTTTCCCATAAACACCCACTCCTTAAAAACCAATCCCCATCTGCTTCAAATACTATACAAAAAGGGGACTTTAAATCAGCCAATGAAAAATACCTGTAATTTTCACACCTGAAATCCACACAGTCAGAACTGCAAGTTTGCTACAGAGTGTGCCTGCCAGCAGCCCGAGCCCCTGGGTTGTGCAGCCCAGGAGCTGTATGTCCTGGCCCTGACGGGAGGTGGCAATACTCGAACGCTGATAGACTAATGCACTTCTGTGAGCATTTGTGGCACTCTGCCTTCCACCCTGGCTGTTGCTGTGCCTCTGTGGTACCGAGGAACTTATTCTTCGGTTTGCTGCTTACTGCAAATGAAAGTTCCACGTGAGGACGGTCATCAGTGATTTATACCGTGAATGGTTAACTGTGAGCGATTAACAAAGACTTCTGAGACTCTGTGTTGCCTTGTCTTTTCAGTAATACCAGGCAGTGGGGGATTGCAGGCAAAAAGATACATGTAGAAGGGAGTGAGAGTGGCATCTGGGTTGAATAACACAGGGGAACATTAAGCCAGCAATTATAATTACCACCCTAAGTTCAGTAAGGACAGAAAGCCTATAAGTCACACAGAAAAAGAAGAAAAAATATAAGAAAGAGTGCACCATCTGATCCTTGACAGTGAAGAAAACCAGCAAGGAAGAAAAACAGTATCAAACTTAAAGTGATTCCAGACTTGGAGAAGAACTACTTCAAGAGTTGGTACCACCATTCCCCAGCAGCATGTCCCAGTGCTACACACCATGGTGTAACAGGAGACAGCGGCACAACTGCATTTGGGCCCCAGCAAGACTCTACAGCTGAATGCCTCCTGCTAGAATTACAGACAGCTGGGACTGACACACAAACACCTTCGCTGTGCCAGCCAGGTAACCTGTGAAAGTTTGCAACTGGAAAAGGAGATGAGGAATGAGGGTGCAGCATGCAAAGTGGATGGGGAAAAGATTATCTCCTATTAGATTGATTAATAGTGCTGGAAGGAATCAGGGATCAGTGCTGGGTCCAGTTTTGTTCGATATCTTCATCAACAACCTGGATGAGGGGACAGAGTGCACCCTCAGCAAGTTCACTGATGATACGAAACTGGGAGGGGTGGCTGACACCCAGGAAGGCTGTGCTGCACAGGCTGGAGAGCTGTGCAGAGGGGACCTTCATGAAGTTCAATAAGGACAAGTATAGAGTCCTACATCTAAGAAGGAATAACACCAGGCACCAGGACAGATTAGGGGACGTCCTGCTGGAAAGCAGCCCCATGGAGAAAGACCTTGGAGTCCTAGTGGTCAGTGAGTTGTCCATGGGACAGCAGTGTGCCCTTGTAGCCAAGGAGGCCAATGGTATCCTGGGGTGCACTGAGAAAAGTGTGTCCAGTAGGTCTAGGGAGGTTCTCCCCTCCCTCTGCTCTGCCCTGGTGAGACCACACCTGGAACACTGTGTCCAGTTTTGGGCTCCCCAAGTAGAGAGATACAGGGACCTACTGAAGAGACTCCAACAGAGAGCTACGAAGATAATTAATGGACTTGAACATCTCTCCTATGAGAGACTGAGAAAACTGAGGCTGTTTAGCCTTGATAGGAGACGGCTGAGGGGGGACCTTATTAACGTATGCAAATATCTGAGGGGTGAGTGTCAAGAGGAAGAAGACAATCTTTTCTCAGTGGTGCCCAGTAATAGAACAAGGAATAATGGGTTTAAGTTAGAACATAGGAAGTTCCACCTCAACATGAGGAAAAAATTTCTTTACTATGAGGGTGACAGAGCACTGGCACAGGCTGCCCAGAGAGGTTGTGGAGTCTTCTTCTCTGGAGACTTTCAAAACCCACCTGGACGCGTTCCTGTGTGGCTGGCCTAGGGGATCCTGCTCTTGCAGGGGGGTTGGACTAGATGATCTCTAGAAGTTGCTTCCAACCCATAACCTTCTATGAATCTATGAAGGAAGAGACGAGCCTATGGTATACACATCCTCCTTCAGGGCTTTGTGTTACATCATGGATTTCTGTGAAACAACAGTCAGAGTGATGTAGCACAAACTCGACTGAAAACAACAGTCCTGCAAGTACCCAGAGCTGTCTGAGCCAGGCTAGCACTATGCATCAATCTCCAAATGGTTATTTTTTTCTTTTCTGTCATATATGTGTTAATTGAGGTGAATACCCTCTGGGTTCCTTGGCGTATAATTAATTCTGCACCGAGTATAACCACTCCTTCCCTGAGGCAGTGGAGATGTGCACATTTCTTGATAACCAGAGAAGCAGGGGAAACAAGAGGCAGCTTGGGAAGGAATTAAAATTCATAACTTCAAACATAAATAACACTTGGATGACCACTCCAGTGTAAATGTGCTCATATCAATTCACCACATCTGTCCACCATGCAAATGCCGTATACTGACAGGTTAAGAGCCTGTTAGGTCCAGGCCTTGCTGAACTGTAGCAAAGTGCTCCTGGAGGAGTCCTGCTGCCATGCGGGTGCAGGTACAGCTGCCTGCTTGGCACGCACCGTGCAACAGCGGGTCGATAAGCTGCATGCCAGGCTCCCTGTGCCTCTGACATGTGAGAAATAAAACCTGCAGCAACAACAACAACAGCAACAAAAAAGTAGAATTTTTGCAAAGAAGGGTTCAATACCACAGAAAATAGTGTGGGCCACCAGCCCATGCTGCAGCAGAAGCATTACTTTGCAGGATACTCTCTTGTATGTCTCACTGCTTTGGCAGCAGCCAGTTGCTGCATTGACAGCAACTTGTCCCGCACTGTTGAAGTGAAATTGTGCTGATTTCAGCAACAGCAACAGTGCCCAGACAGTAACTGCATGCCTAAGAGGCGGAACAGGTAGCAGAGGCATTTTATAGCTGTCCCTTGCACAGTTTGAAGACTTTGCACACGTGCTTGTGTGGTTTCTTGTCATTCTTTCCTACTCGTGTTGAGTAACACCCTGGCCTCCTGCCTCATTTCTTACTGCGCGGCCATTGTAACTGTATCTTCAGATCTTACTTTGTGCAGATTTCATCATTATCAAATTTTTTCTATGTGACTGGTGTATCAGGTCCTACCTCCAGTACCCTGAAGCAATGATGAACTGGCAGAGAATTACTAGTGCTGGTCTTGAGTCATATTTCTAGAAGATGGCCAGGAAACTGGATGGAAGGTAATGCTGCAGGGGGCAGGGATATATCAAAAGACACACTGGAGAAACAAGCTCCCTGAGCTTACCAAAGAGCAGATATTTTTTCCACTCTACTTTGGAACAGTTGTAAATTGACTGTTTGGCTTTGTTTGATGCTTCTTGTCCTAACAGATGCCTAATTAGGAGCCAATGCTTCCCTGTTTTTCTGCAGTAATGACACACCTTAGCCTTAACTGGGTATAAACACCTAGATTATCCATGTCATTTTGTTTCAGCAAGATTTCCGTTGTTGCCAGTAAATCCCTAAACTGCGATATCAGTATCTATGTAGCTACATTTCTCTTCTAGCAGTTTCCATGGGCCTCATTCTTCTGTCTACTATGTAAATACGTGCATAAATTGCAACAGGAGGACCGTCAACCAGCCCTCTCCCAAAGCCCTCATTCTTCCTCTGACAGTCAGAGGATGACACAGAGAAGTAATGTGCAATAAACTTTGACCACCACCTGGAGGAAGGCTCCTAATCTCTCTCTTCCAGCACGACTGATTTGCTGGATAATATGACCTTTTTAAGAGAGAAAATACAAAAATGGTACAGATATTTAGTATCAGATGACGGTAACAAGACAACACACACACATACCTCGCACTGTGGAGCTACTTTAATTTTACTATGCAATGCACTAGAGCATAAACTATTTCTATTTCTATTTTTATTTTATTTTTGCAAATGTGTTGTTGACTCTGTCATGTCTTTGACTGTTTTTAAATATTACATCCACTGGTATCTCTGCTTCCCCAGGGGCATGCAGTAATTGTAGCTGCTGTAGGAAGTGAACATGGCATTCCTCATCTTTGTGTGATTTCTACTCATAAGCACTAGGCATGACAAGTAGTGTTGGTGCTGGAGTAATACACAAGTTAGATTACAGGATGAGGCACAGATTGAATCATTCTCAGAAATTCACCCTCCAGTGTCACATTGTACCTGAGTTAATGCGAGCCAGAACTCACACACTGCACAAGTACAGAGCTCTCACTTTGTTCCCAAAGCTCTCACAGCTTTTTCCATGCCAACTATATACATATATATATTAAAAAACCACCAACAACTAACAACACAATACATTCCTGTGTTTGTTTGCAGAGCTGTCTGTGGACGATTTCTTGAGTTGCTTAATTACAAGGAAGCTGGGCCGTGAACAACGTAATACACTCAAGGTTTGCTTGGTTATTTAGGGCAGTCCTTGTCTTCCCCCAGAATGAAAAGGTCCCAAGGTGTTTGAAGTGTAGCTAGGAGGAATGAAATGAAGACATCAGAGGCCACAGAAAGCCTGGACTACTGATACAGCCATGAGACTGCTGGTACACACATCTTTTACTGGAAAACTCAGTTATTTGATGGCAGTATGCTGCTGGCACCAAGAAGCTGGAACAGCTTTTAAATTACTGCCCATCATGCATTTATAAGCATTTAGGGGTGAGAGGTGTAAAAATGCTGGGAGAACCTCAAACCTGTACCTTTGATTACACCGTAACACACACCAGCCATGCTCCCCACATTGTGCTGTTCTGTGGGGAAGCAATCAATCAGCCTTTCATCCTGGGAAGACCAAGGGACTATGACTTATAAAGCAAAACACAGAATACTGTTAAAGACCCGTGTCCAGGTCTGGGGCACCATCACACAGTCCTGGAGCCTCTCAGTCATGTTTTTTGCAGGAGCACCTCAAGAGCAACAGGATGAGTAGAGCCACATCAGGAACTAAGAGAAAGCATCATGAAGAGCAATCGTAGCTCTGAAATACTAATATTGGTTGCAATTACCTGCTGACAGTATTGAAACAGGGAATGCTATGCCACCAAAAGCAGAAGTATGGGAGAATGTTCTGTCATTGTTTTATTAAGTGCATTAGCTTTTCTTTTTTGTACAACATCATAGTATATCTTAATTTACAGGTGCCTTGCTTAAATTGTTTTACCAGGCTTAATGTACCAAGACAGCATTACTGAGGACAGCCACCTTGAGTATGTGTTTTAAAGATCTGAGTTATACAAAAAGTTAAAAAAGCAAGCATAAGAACCTTTGGGTTTGGTGTTTTGGGTGTTTTTATGTATGTTCCAGTGCTATTATTTCCACTTTACTATATCCCATTCCTACTGTCTTGGGCAAAGAAGCAGCATTGCATCTGAATTTCACAGTTCATTTTATTGCCAGCTATAATGAACTTTAAATGATCAATTCTGGTATTGAGAAATAAAGACACGTTGGGAAAGTACATCAGCTTCCCCCTAGACACTTCTCCTGCCCTCTTCCTGGTCTCCTGTCCCCTCAGTGCCTTCACAGAGCCCATGGATGATGCAGGAGTTTCCAGTCAACCACTGTGATTCCTCTTCTTTTGCTGATCATTGTTTCTCACTGCACTGCTCTGGTGTGGTCTCCACCAGCCCCAGTCCCTCTGGAGTCATACCTCCTCCAGTGTGTTCTGTGTGCCTGTCCCTGCTCAGAGTTTGTGGTTGGTTTTGGTGGGTTTTTTGCTCCAGCACTTGCTGGTGGCATCTCTTTTCTGCAGCCCTGCTGAGGCTGTGGGCCAGTACAGGGTGGTCTGTGAACTGCTGCTCGCAGGTCACACCTGCAGCCTTCAGCTACCAAGACCCTGCCAAATGCACCTGGTAAGCTTTCTGTAGGACTTTCTGCCACATATCCAAGAGTCACCAAACCACTTTACACACATGAGTCACTGAGAGGTACAATAGACTGTTTTGTAAGTAGTTTCAAAGGTCATCAGTACATAAGGATGGGGGAGTGAGGGAAGAAGTGTGGAGCAGGGAGACAGAGAAAGAGAGAGAGAAAGAAGAGGAGATGAAGAGATTTATTTATTCCTAGATCCACCCAGCAGCTATGTTACCTGGAGTTGGGGCAGCAAGGAGGATATTCATGAGTGCTGTGGAGCAAAGAGCAATGCGCTCTGAGCAAGTGCAGTGCCTTGGGCACCAATGTCATGGCCCAAGATGACAGCTTGTTGAAATGGAATGCAACAGCCAAGTAATTATCCACAATGTCAGGGGAAACTGTCGGCAAAGTGCTGTTTCAGTTATGCCACCTGTTAGGACAGGTGATAGGCTTTAATTGGGGGAAGGAGAAAGCAAAAAGAAGGAACTGATATTATTGTTACCCCTTTCCTCTCCACAATGTGGTACATGTTGCATCCTCTGCCTTGTAAGAGCGCTTCTCAAGGTTTGGTCATGGACCACTGATGAGCTGTCTGTAACCAGAAACCATCAACTCAAATGTAATCTGAAGTAGCTATAGAAAAACATGCATGCATTGATCCCCAAGCCAAAAATCCCAGCAATAATTACAGCATGTTGGTATTGGAGAGTGAAAATGAGTGACTCTTCAGAGACTAACCTACTATTCTCTTGCTTGGAAAAGCAGAGCAATGTGATGGCAGTGGACTGGCTGACCGACAGAATTTCCTTGAGAAGGTTTGTGCTTGGATTTAACCCCACCACACAGCAATCAAAACGTCATCAGGTGGGGAACCTTCATTGCTCTTTGGAGTCACCCCGTGCCTACCGCGTGCATTCCTGTGTTGTTGAATTTGGAGTACACAGACACAGAAGGCTAGTTGCATGAGATGTTTATTTGCCTCTCCCATGTTATAGGGAAAAAGTCCTTGTTTGCTCGAGCGATTTCAGTCTTAGTGTGTCTTGTCATATGTGCCAGCTCCTTTGTAGGCTCCAACGTAGCCACTGTTGTCTGTCAGATCCTGGTTGTCAGCACTCTCATCAAAACGCACTTTGTGACTGCCAGTGTATTTGCTAATGTCCGTCAGCCTGTCATCCCCACCAACCTTGGTGGCTTTCTGCAAGAAAGCAGGCCGGCAAGAGGCAGCCAGCATTAGGAAACAGCATGCAAACAAGCTCTTGCCTGCGTGTGAGGATGGCACATGTCCCTAAAGAACGATCAGATTGTCTCACAGCAGGTGCACAGTGGGTGAGGAAAACTGTACTCACAGTAGTGCCCATGCTGCCAGGCTCCTTCCCCTCGATGAGGCCGTACACAGCCTGCAGTGCTTCCTGCTGCGATTTGCCCTTGAAATGCTCTGTGCACATCTCCTTCATGGCCTGCTGGAACTCAGCAAAGGTGATGGTGCGAGCACCCTTGGTCCTGTGGGGAGAGGAAACCGAGAAGAAAGTTACCTCAGCACTACCTGTGTGGCTGCAGGATGGGAAACCCCCAGGGCTGCTCCTCACACAAGAGCCTGCTCACATGCTGCTGCTCCCTCCTCCCACCTCTCCCTGCTGCCCACCGTGCCTCCCTGTGACACTCACACTTGACTTTGTTAAATACAATGTCAATGTCAGTGCTGGTCACAGCTTTCCCATCCATCACTCCACACTCCTTGCACAACTTGGAGAAGTTTTTCTCCATCATGTCATTGCCACTGGCAGCCGTGTCACCGTATACAGCGAATTTACGGAAAGTGTTTTCTAGCTCCGACACCTTACTGCTCTGGAGAAGTTAGCAAGGAAGAAACTGAGCACGATCTGTAGCTGCTCAATGCACACTCATGTCCCACATGCCTCACCTGCAGCAAAGCAAGGGACATCACTCCACAGATATCTCTCCACCATGGGGCAATGACCACACAGAACACCTGGGATCCAGGTAGAATTGGGACAGGGACGGGTAGAGGTCTGAGGCAAAGAAATGGTGAAGGTGAGGCTCTGGGGTGAATTAGTGACTGCTGCATGTGAAGGAACAAGGCGCCCAAGGCTTCTGAGCCTTTCTGAAATACAAGTTTCAGTTAGACTGTCTCAGTAACAAATACTTGCATTTCTAAGGTGATTTATGCTGTGCCTGTTGATGATAAAGAGTTCAGATTTACCTTCCAGGCCCCAGTTAACTGCCTGAATCTCACAGACCTTCTTGCAAGTAGTCAGCAAGTAATCCCCTTCTTTCCCCATCACAATTCACCCCTGAATTGCTCCCTGAATTCTGCTGTTCTCCTCCCAACACTAGTAAATTTTCCACTACTGATCAACTCAGCCCACTGTAAATATGCATCATGATGGATAAAAACAATCATTTGTAATATAAATCAGTCCACCACAACTTGATTCCTGAGACACCTTAAACTGCTTTGAAATACTCAGCCTTTCCTACAACCTTGTGTTTCACCCAGGGGCTCTGGGTCTCATGGTTGTTTGCAGGCCACCATTTAGTGTAAATCTTGTGCAGGTCTGCACCTCTTGAGCAATAATCAGGCAGAATTGTACCAGTGAGCTGTGTGCTGTGAGCATGAAGGGCTTAGTAGGGGCCTTGCTGGGGGCCTCTCAGTACCCTTCCCTCCCTTCCTGGGAGATGTAGACCTGTGTGAGCCGGAAGCGATGGTGATGGCAGTGGAGGTGGTGCTTTCCTCGGTGTCCTGGAGGCAATGAGCACTCCAAGCCACCCCTCCCACCTTGCCGATCAATAGTGACCTCAGCACCCACATGCACCACACGGCTCAGGAAGGCCCATCTTGGGATGGGGGAGGTGGAGAGAGGCAGGAGAAGAGGAGGACACTTCTGTGCTGGCAGAGGTTTTGTGATAATAAACAGAGTAGCTGGAAATGAGGTCTGGGAAGTTCAAACACGTGATATAGGATCATAGGATCATAGGACCATAGAATCATAGAATCATAGGACCATAGAACCATAGAATCATAGAATCATAGAATCATAGAATGTGTTAGGCTGGAAGGGACTTTTAAGGGTCATCTAGTCCACTCTCCCTCCAGTAAGCAGGGACATCTTTAACTAGATCAGGTTGTTTAGAGCGCCTCCAAGCCTGACCTTGAACGCCTTCAAGGATGGAGCCTCCACGAGCTTTCCAGTCTTGGTGTTGATCGCAGCAAGCCCACACCAGCAGGGTGACCTTGGCCAAGCTCTACCCATTCCAGAAGGACAACCTTGCAGATACTGCTGCATGCTCACTGCTTCTGCACTTCTGCGTGGCTTTCAGTCTTCCTGTTTTGACAACAGTGTCACAGCCCTGGCATGGCCATGCAGGCCACTGGCTGTGCATCACCACTGGCTGCTACTGAGCCAGGGGCAGTGGCTAGGGATGCCAGTGTAAACGTCGGACACACGGCTGGTGTTAATGCTGTTTCTGCAATTTATAGAGGCGTGCTGATCAGCCCAATGGATTGTTTCCTCTTTTCTTCTTGCAGGTGACCTGTTTTGGAGATATCACAGCAGGCATGCCAGTCTCCCAGCCTGTGTGAGGAAAGCAAGGAATGTTAGAGGTGTTAGATGTCCTGACAGGAATGACGATGCATGGGGGCAGATGTGCATATAGTTGCTGGGGAATTTTCATATGATTTCAAAAGGTGTCTTGTGTGTGTCTAAGTGTGGTTTTGGAACTGAAGTATTTTTTCCCCTTTTAGTTACGGCATACAAATTTGCTTCAAAATTGAAAAATATGCACCTAGGTATAGTGAAGCTGAAGAAGTTGCCAAGTGTCCATATATTTTAAGGTCAGGAGATCACCTCTTTTTTTTTGGCCTGTAATTCAGAACCACCTGAGATCAGTTCTGTGATATGAACAGCTTATCTGTTTCCACTTCTCACAGTCTTCATGTGACCATGAATAAAACAAAATGTTGCTTCCCTTAAAGCTCTTGGGACAATGCTCCTCAGCCATAAAATCAGCGAATCCAGAAACAAAACCAACTCAAACCAGATGAGTTTCCAAAATTGCAGAGATTGCCAGGAAAGGTGGGGCACACACCTGTGGATCTGTATGGCCCAAAAGGGTGGTTTCGTCCAACCCCTGTCCAACCCAAAGGACAACCCCCCCTTTCCAGCTACGCACCTCGCAGGTAGGGCAAGCATGCAAGAAGCTCAGCAGAGGTCATCAACGTTTAACAAAAAAGAGAACTATGTTATCTCCATCCTCGCGCACACACATAGAGAGGCATGTATGGTCAGAGATTCTTATTAGCCAACACATTAAGAAAAAGTGAAATGGCTAGATTATTGTTCTTCTGAAATTTCCTGCCTTTTATATACTCGTATTTCTCTAGCAGATCTCTGTTCTCATCATCGGCAAATTTTATTAACAGCATTATCTCCTGTCTTTTAGGCTCCACAATAAAATAATGAAAAGGCGTTCGGACTAACACCAAAAGCTACAGATTGCCCCCACAGACACCTCTAAGGAAAAGCATCTCCTGCGATCTGTCAGTTTGCCATCGCTAAATTCATTTAACCTGGAGGACAAGGCTTTAAAGAGCTGCTTTCTGGAATGGTAGCACATAACTGACAGATCACACAGCAAAATTGTTTTAATATGTTCCAGATGTATTGCTTCAGCGAACTTAATGCACAGATTAATCTGAATCACTGTGCCTATGGTCTCTGCTCTTCAATTCCCTCATGGCTACATGCCAAATCTTTTCTGCTTTCAACTGCAAGGCTTTCAACAAAGTCAGACCAAGGGAGTATACAATTTGGTCCCAAGTAACTAGCTGAATATTTGAAGCTGTTGCCAGCCTTTTATGAGCTCAGTTTAAAATTACATTTAGGGAGGTTTGAAGCATCTTAGATAAGACAGATGCTGAAGAAATAGTGGTGGATCATTAGGAAAATAAAAAGGTTTTTTTGCTGAAATCATATAAATAACATATATAAATAGACATGCGCACACTTCCTCTTTTCCGGAAACAAATGCACCATTAGCAAGATATTCTTAAATTACGAAAGGATATCCTATGTTGCTTAAATCTTAAATCTTCAGTTGTGGGGAAGTGATTTATTCTGTGTCAGTAAAATGCCTAGCTGCAAAACAGAGACCAGGATTCAGTGTTCTGTTCAAATACTTACATAAATCTGCAGGAAAGTTGGAAGACAGCTTTGATACCATCTTCATGGAATCAGCATTATTTATTTAAGGAAAACCAGAATTTTTAGAAGACTAAAAAGGGCAAAAGAAGAAGTTAGAGCAACAGTAATACCGAAGCTCTGCAGAATAGCAGAAATCCAGGAGAAAAGATTAATGTCTGAAACTCTTCTGTAGGCAAGAAGAATATTAACTTCTGCCGTTATGAATAAATGAATTCTAAATTATTCTTTGTCTGCTATATTTTATGAACTATTACCATAATCACATAAACCTCTTTTTTCACATAAAGCTACGTATAGTGTAAGATTTCCCTTTCAGTGCGATGATCAGAGAAACTGTTTGAATGAAGACATTAAAGCAGTGCGACTCCAATTACTGTATGAAATATGTTAAATCTGTCAAAATGAGCTGCTTGGATTACTGACAGACCCAGAAAACGCCAAATGATGGAGGATGAAGGTGAATCAAAATTCAGATGTGGAGCTGTACCCACTCCATAAGCCCCCCCTGCCCTGTTTGATCCCAGAACATGTCCTTTTGCAGCCAAATTGTCCCTTTCCTGGTCTCCGAGAAGAGCAAAATTTTGTTTAAAATAGAAGTCAAGTGAGAGAATGTAATACATAGCACAAGTTTGAAAGGCAGTGACTTTAGCTGTCTTGCTGAACAAATATAATCTGTCTGGTGCCAATGTATGGGGAAAGAGGAGAAAAGAGAGCATCGTGTTGGTGCTTGGGCTTAAAAGAGGAATTTTAGAGAATAGCTGAAAGAACAAGAATCTCGCACTGAGCAATTTCAGGCTGCTTGTCAGAAATTAACACAAAGCTGAAAAGACCAGGCATGTAGCTGTTTTGTGTAAACGTATTTTATGGGATTTCTTTTCAATATCTTCAGTTCTTCAGTGCATCTTTTATTTATGTCAGGCATACACACACATATATACATGACTAGGAAATCTTCTATGGACGTATACATCTATCTGTTGTTCAAATGAGTAAAACAGGACATGTTTAATAATCCTGCACTGGTCTTAACTTCTGTATGCCTCAATCTAGCCCACAAGAACTCAAGGATCTTGTCCTTTACCTGAAAACCAAAATGTGGAAAACTAAATATTGTCATTTTCCTGGGGTCTCTGGTGAACTGCAGACCTCACAGTGAGCCCACAGAAATAAATCAAGAAATTGTCCACCCTTATCCCAGTGCTAAACCACCAATCTTACCAAACATATCCCTTCAGTAAAAATGGATAAGAAAAAAAAAACAACTCAAAATTGCCTCTCTACGTGTTCCCTCTCTATCTATGGAAATCACCTGCCTCTTGTTTTAGAGGGTGAGCACAAGAAGGGTTGATGATTTCTTCTTTTACACTCATGGGATGATGTTTTTTGCAACCCTTGTATTGGGACATGCCTGGTCCTGCCTGAGTCAGGCTCTCTGCATGGAGGGGTGCGCTGGGGCATAAGGAGCCCCAATGTCATCAGGACGGAGGAGGGATGACAGAAGATGGGCACTGACAGCAGAGGCAGCTTGCCACTTCAGTCACTGACTCCTGTCTCCCTTGGCTGCCCCAGGGGAAATGCTCTTGTCAACACTTAGAGCGAGTCAAGGCTGAGGAGGAGGAAGCT